ATATAGAGTAGAAATATCTATATCTGGGACGTTTGTTTTCCTTTGAATGGTCCTCATATCAACACCCTACTCTGAATAGTCACAACAATTTAATGCATTTCTTTATTTGATATTGACAAACTATTATATAAAGTTTCAATTATACCCACTGACTTTTTAAAAAAGAGATGTTTAGGTCTAGGGCCTCAAAAAATTAAATAACCCTCAAATTTACACCCTTAACTGGATCGTCCCCAACACATAAGAATTTCTTCGTTATAACTTGGTTAAACTTCACCTAAAATTTCATTCTGGTCAATTGACCAGTTTTGAAATATTTAGTATAGACTTTTTACCCTTAAATTACTGTAATTGGTCTTCATATGAACACCTCACCCTAGATTGACACTAAATACTATCAGGAGGCACATCCTTCCATATGGTCTAGGCCTATGCTTCAGCAAAATATGGAAAAGTTCCAAGCAGGGAAAGTGAAAAAAAATGCCGGGCAGAAAAACCCAGAGCAAAAAGATAAGGGAAAATTATGCAAGAAAAGAAAAAAAAAAATCGAACAAAAACAATGGCTTTTCCAGCTACTGCTGGAAAAAGTCAATAACAATAGTGTTTCTCATCATACCAACGTCATTTTTTTTATTTTATAGAATGTCAACTTTTTTGGTTAACGCTTTGCCTTACGTACTATCGTCATATATTAATTTATGGAATGTCGATCTGTACAATTGTACAATAATACTTCCAAGTAGCTTACTTAGGATGTAAAGTTTAGTAGGTAATTTCCCTGAAATTATACAATACAGGTATACACAGCTCTGTATACCTGTATTGTATACCTGTATACAATACAGGTATACAGAGCTGTGTGGAGCACGATTATCACTCTCACTTTTCAGAATGCATTGTTCTGGAACCTTTTTATTGTGACACCTCTAATACCAGACACAGATATTTATAACAATACTGATTACATCAAACGTTTTTAATAAACGCAATTTTAATTCCTTCTTTTCAAAATGCATTTAGTATTTTGTTCAGTCCGTAAAAAGTCATGGATAGTCAACTTTCTAAACACGGACACGGATTGTGCCCTTGGCGAGATAATTTGGCTTATCAAAACGGCTGGTATTTTCTTGCATTTCACCATTATATTTTATCAGAGACTCATAAAATGCCCAAATATAGTTCTTAAATCAATTAAACTATGCGACTTGACCAGTTTGTTTTTTATTACCTTGAATATTTTTTTTCCGAAATTTTATAGAAATGTTTCTGCCTGTTCCGTCTGTTAAAAAAACAAAAACAAAAAAACAAAACAAAAAAAACCTGAGAATATCTGAGCAAAAATTAAAAGCTTCGCCCGGTGGACGCTACTAATGCGTTGTCTCTGGATCCGATCAGGTACCTTTTAAGACACTTAAAGTACCTGGATGGACTCACTTGCGAGATGGTCAGAAAGAATATCTGTATCCGTACCTCCGGGCCTCACATCAAGGGCCCGTCAATTATCTTGAACTGGGGCCCGTCATCACCTAACTACGCCGCTGAACCGTGTTCTTCGTATGCACAGTTCAAGTTGTACCAATGATTTAATGGTGATGCCGATGGTGGTGATGGTGATGATGATATGATGATGATGATGATGATGATGATGATGGTGGTGGTGATCGCATTGAAACCATTTTATTATAATACCTCTAATACCATAATGAGACAGATTTTTATAACAGTACCCGATCAATTACATCAAACGCTTTTAATAAGTTAATAAACGTAGCAACTGTAAATTAGTTCTTTGCAAAATGCATTTGGTATTGGTATCAATACTGCATGTATTTTGTTGCATTACACCTAGGTCTATATATACGGTATTATACTTTACTAAGGACTCGTGAAATGCCCAATATAGTCCCAGTTTGTTCTCAGTATTATTGTATATTTTTATAAATTCTCTTTTAGAAGGTTCCTGCGCGTTACAATGCCGTAAATAGCGTCGGTTTAAAAATCTGAGAATCTCTGAGCAATAAATTAAGAACTTCTCCGGGTAAATGAGGTGTCTTTTAAGACTATTAAGTACACTCCGGGATAAATTGAATCAGGACTCAGAAAGAAAAATTTGTATCCTTGCCTCAAGGCCTCGTTAATTGTCTTGTACTTTCCCTAAAATTATACGAGCTTTGTGGAGCACCATTATCAACCTGTCTTTTTAAGTTAATAAACGTAGCAATTGTAAATTCATTCCTTTCAAAATGCATTTAGTATTGACGGTCAACCAGACTGTGTCGCCAATTACAATTGTGTGTATAGAAGATATTTGAGAAGCATTTGACGCCTGTAAAGAAAAGCTTTATTCAGTTGTGGTTGTGCTACGTAGATGATAGTTTTGTTATGATTGACATTTAATTCAGTAGCAATTGGTTTTTTTTTTTCAGGAGTGATATTTTGCCCTACCTGACGTGTTATCGTACCGAATACTCAGTACGTCCGCAGGTCCAAATACTAGCGAAAAAATTTTGTAAGTGATTCGGGTGGGAATCGAACCCACGACATCCAGGTAACTAGTCTGATGTCTTAACCACTAGACACTGAGTTTGCCCTTAGTGGCGGGTGCTGCAAATGCTATTACGATGCGAGTTTGCTTCAGGAAAATACGATAGGAGTGATGTTTTGCCCTACCTGACGTCTTATCGTACCGAATACTCAGTACGTCCCCAAATACTAGCGAAAACACTCGTTGAAAAACTTTGCTAACAAAAGATGATATTTTTTTGTATTGATTTCTACATATATGTTCTAACGCAAAAACACTTAATGCAAAGTTGAGAGGCCTATATTGAATTAAGTACTCGCCACCCGTATTTCTTTTAAATGCAAATAATTTAGATATTTACTATGGATACCAAAACATAATTATGATGTGTCCGTGCACATCAACAAATAGATATTAACATAAACCATAAAAGAAAACGATAATTTTATACAATATTCGACTATAGTAAGATTGTCTGAATTATTGCGGCTGCTTATCTATAAGAATATATTTTTATAAAATAGGTAGTAATTAAATTTTGTATAAACAATAAATTTAACAAGGATATAACATTTTTTTTAATTTTGTCGAAGATACATGTTTACTCGTTATGAGTGTCAAATTATTATTAATATACGGAAGACATTTTAAGCTGGATTTGAGGATGCTTTACATAATACATGTTAAACGCACCATTCTTTGTCTTCAGTTTAAATATAGGATCACGGAACAAGCAGTATAATGAGAGTCTTTTCTGCTTAAAATATTTATTCAGACCAGGATATACCCGGACGTATTTTGTTGACAGAGTGTGAAAGGCACACACACTTCATGGTCAAGATATTTGAGGTATCAAAGAGCCTGTTTCCATAAAATCACTACACTATCTCTTGTAATCGTTGCACTGTATAGCTGGTCATGATATAAAATGACCATTCAGCCAGGTTAATTTTCTGTAAAATAGTGTGAGAATGACACGGGCCGTCAACATTAGGCCTACATGAAAGTCGACAAAATACCAAATCCATATTTTAAAAAAATAATAATTCCTCACTACTTAGGGCCTAGATGTAATAATACGACTATTTCTGAATGTTTTTTATGCGTTTTGTCTCTTGTTTTCGGCATGTTTTGTGAAACAAACCATGGCCATGACCTGGACTCAAAGTTCGCGGAACGCCGCCCTCAGCGGCGAGTGTGCAAAGCACAATTCAAAGTCAGAAGTGGAATCTTAGATTTATATATTTGGTTTTGTATGTGAATTTGCAAGACAAACTTTAATTATACGTATTTTTCGACTGAGACGTCAATGTGAACTATAATGTGTAGGGTGTAGAGATGGTGGTACGCAAGTTTTATTTTCAAATTTACGCAAACAAACCTTGTAGTTATTAATATTTTTTTATCAAATACATTTTCCATTTTTTTGGTGATGTCACACTCAGAATTAAGTTAACACATAGGAACGTACTTTTCATCTCTAAGATTACGTCACCTTTTTCTCCGTATCAAAAGCGTCCTTCCCGTTCTGCTCTCTTGCTCATTGACGTACAGTAGGCTACATACACAGCAGCCCTATTCATTAGTGTATTTCCTAATAGTTAAACAGCGTCTGTAATGGCCGTATTTTCTTTGCCGCGTGAATTGTTCTTATAAATTAATTTGTTTTTCCTGGTGCTCGGCCGTCATACATTACTGTATGATCTCCACATAACAGTGGCGGCGCCAGGATTGCCCTTACGGGGTCCAAGTTGGCGTGGTCTGGCCTCTATAAAAACAAATAATGTCGTGGGGTTGTTCCTGGGTCTCTCTACCTAAAGCATGCGTAGTACCGTACACAAACTGAGTACCATGTGACTTCATGGACGGTTGCGTATGAAGAGCAACACGAAGCATTCAATTATTATTAATGTTATTATTGTTGTTATTTATTGTATATTTATTGTTTTATAAGTATAATGTATTTGTACAACGTTGACATGAACTTGAGTAAAAACAATATCTTGACTACTCACAATTTTTGATATACCCAATGACTGGGTCGAAATTACCCAAGATTCAACAAAAATTGCCCAAAATTACCCAAGCTCCCAGAAAATGCATTAAAATTTGAAAAAAAAAACCCGTGTTTTTCACATGTATAGATTCCCTTTTAGTTCATTTTATGAATCATTTTTTATATGTAATTGTTTGTGTTAATTATTAATATTCATGAGGTGATAATACGGTAGAAAAATACGCCCTCAGTCGGCCAGTAGTGTTATAAGTAGATCAGTTTACCAAGTTTTATTATGTAATGCATACATTAGGAAAGGCAACACAAGTCACAAAAACTATCCTGAACCCATGATAGCAATTAACAGTCAATTAACAATGTTATGTGCATTTCGTTGAGTTTTGCTTACTTGAATGGACTGAAATATACTTTGTTACTTCTTAATTCTTCCTCTATGACAAAAATATTTAATTTTCTTAGTAAAAATAAAATACCCAAGGATTTGAACGGAATACTCAAGAACCCAAGACCAAGTCAAAATACTCAAGGCCTTGGATAAATACCAAAGCAGTGGTCAAGTTGATCAAGATTGAATAAGTGTTTATAAAAGTTTATATATAATGTATTATGCGTTCAGAAACAACCTTATGACCGACAGAGATAAGTATAAAAACAAGTAAGTACCCATACACTCTCATTCACAAAACCCCACCCCAACCATGACACTCCTACTTTTCCTGTCATCACATTCACATCAACACCTAGTTGCGAGGCAGCATTGTCGTCTGGCATTGCCAACATTGCTGCCTCTCACATTATCCCCCTCCAATTACACCAACTTCTACCTTATCAACATTGTACCTTCCCCCCCCCCTCACTCAATTCTAATATCGCTCTCCTTACTTTTCATAGAGTCAAGAGTAAAAAAGAATAATCTGAGATTATTACAGTTAGGCCTATATTATGTGTCAACATCCAGTTGTTGCATCTTTCTTAATTTATCATCTTACTCTATTTGTTTTCTCTTAGTCGAATAGTCAAGCCTGAGGCAGGGGCGCGCGGTTCAGAGAGGTGCCGTATCAATCGCCAAATATCATCGCCACGACTCGCTCTTATGTGGAACAAGTCTTCTCGGGTAACTATACCCTAGGCCCAGTGGGCGTAGTCGGGCGTCGCTCATAATCTCTCGAAAGTGTTCCAGGGGCGAAGCCGAAAAAATATGACAGTTTAGGATTTCAAAGGCTTATTTTATCGATTTTGGCGTCTAATATGTAGAAAATACATATATAGGCCTATATATAATTTTTTTACCCCTGCCTATGCTTAAACAATGTGAGGTATGTTAGACTACTTAATGAACTTACTTGACTTAATGAACTACATTGAACTTTCAAGATATGCACTTCTGATAAGTCGCATAAGATGTATTCCATTGTTGGTACGGTCTACTATTATCCTCAGAGTTAACTTAACACCGAATTCAAGGATGTAAAATAGGAATTTATCGGTGCCATTACTTTTGTGAAGATCAATTAACTACTAAAAATACTCCTACAATAATCTATATTAGATAGTATAATACATACTCCAAGTATCGAAATGCACGCCATCGTGTCAAGATTTATCCCCGACAAGAAGGCGGGCATTTCGATACTTGGAGATTATTATCTGAGATTAATCAGTGGACCTTTAAGTATAATCTATATTGTTAAAGGAACTATAAGATCTTAGAAATTAAATATTTTAGATGATAAGCCTAGGTTACCTATTGTCATAATGTTCGACAATGACGGAAATAGACCTTGGCACGGAATTTATATTTCTAAGCTCTTTGGTGTAGAATGTGCTGTTTCAATAATTAAAGTCATGAAAAGAGTTCAAGTTCGTTGCTATCTAGTCTTATGCCACCCGCCAATGTTTACACCCGATTTTTGTACCAATCAGCTTTTCTATGCGGCCCGTTGTCACTCTAGGCCCGTTTCCATTGGGCACTTTGGGCCATCCTAGCCTGTTACAACCTTAGGCCCGATGTCACTCGCCCTTTTCCCCCTAGGCTCGTCGCCACCGGACCCTTTGCCACTTACTCGTTACCACTCATCCCTTCCACCCAAATTCATTTTCTGCCAAGACTTAGGCATGGCGTTACCATCCTGTCCTTCTTACCCGTTACCACTCGGCCTATAAACAACGATTAAATTTTGTTAAATACATACATATAATGTTTATACACGATAAATAGGCCTATTTTATCGATTAGTATTTAACTTTATTTTATACTTTTGTTTGTTGGTTTGTTTATTATGTATTGCCCTCATTATGATTATTATATCAAAACCAAATACAAGAAAATAAAAACACACAAAAATGAGAGCAAGAGGATAACCCTATAAGCTCTATGAGCTTGTTTCCATAGGGGTCCTATAGCAGCTTTACCAGTCAGCTGTCGTGACAGAATGAGTCTTGTTGTACAAAAAAGTGAAAAATGAGTTACAGATATATTTAGATAGATGACTATATAATCTTTATTTTGGTCTTTGAATCAGGTTCCTAGCTTAATACAACCGGAGTAAAATCATTTTCAAATTCAAAATCGCCACTAAAGATACATAACTAATAAGTTGGTTTTCCTAACATTTCTGAGAAAGAGTCTTACAAATTGTGCCTCAAAAAACACTTTCAGCTAGTTTTAAATCAAACATGTTAAACTTATCAACAACGTTGAAATACAATATTTGTCAAAACATTACTTCATATATATTTTTCTTGAATATCTGAAATTGACCTGGTATACTAAAAGACCCATTTTGTCACGACACGTCACCTATATTCTCTAATTGCAAAATAGGAAAAAAGTTTGTCTACAGTCACTCCAGTAGAGTATAGAAAGTCAGTGAAATGTCACTCTAATCAGAGTCAATTTCACTAGTTTTTCAATATTTTAAGAATATAATTCACTCTTTTAAGAATATTCGAGAAATAGTCAAGTTACAGTGATCTCTGTAAGCACTTTTTTGGAGTGAAATTCATATCTTTTGCATTTAGTAGACTAATAAATAAATGCTAATTCTAACAGAAGCAAGACACCGATATGCGTATAATTGCTTTTAAGTTGGTCTATATCTATATTTCATGTGCATTTAATTCAATCTCAATAGAAATCAGTGAACTTTAAATAACTTAAATAAAAATAAATAAATGATTCAATAGAATTGTGTATTAATCGATCAGTAATAACAGCAATACAGATTATTATGTACATGAGAGTAGATTAATTTTATCATGTCTAACAATAATGAAATTGATAATAATATTTCTCATCATACCAACGCCATAAGAAATTTTCTAATTTTAGTCTTGTAAAAGTGTTACCATTAGTGCGTGTCAACGTCATTTATTATGTTATGGAATATTGTTCTGGCAGGATTTTATTTTTTTTTCTTTTTCTTTTTTCTCGTTGACCAAATGGTCATTTATTTCAATACTTTCATTTGAAAACATATTCAATAACAATATTTAATTCAGTTTTCCTTTAGAGTAACATAAATAGATATTTGATTATTTCTTTTATTTATTTATTCTTAAACATACCTAATCCAGTTGTTAATACACTTAAGTAGTGAAACAGTATGCCGATAGTACAAATAATAGTAATAATAATAATAGTAATAATAATAATAATAATAATAATAATAATAATAATAATAATAATAATAATTAAACTACAGTAAAATCCCTTTAATACATTAGATAACAATAATACACTTAAGTAGTGAAACAGTATGCCGATAGTACAAATAATAGTAATAATAATAATAGTAATAATAATAATAATAATAATAATAATAATAATAATAATAATAATAATAATAATAATAATAATAATAATAATAATTAAACTACAGTAAAATCCCTTTAATACATTAGATAACAATAGATCTTTATTATTATTATTATTATTATTATTATTATTATTATTATTATTATTATTTATCTTTAGCACTCCTATGTAGCCTGTAGGCCTGTATTTGTTTAGCCATTTGTTGTGAGGTTATTTGGCTACTAGTGTACCTAGTACGCTATGGTATTTAAGGCTTTTATTTAACTTAGGTAATTTCCCTAAACAATTTTTAAGGCTATGGTGTAATCTTTAAGAAATACAACAATAAGTATGATTATTGTGTGCGTGTATGTAGAGCAGATGACAAAGATTTCATCATGGCCCGATAATGTTAAAAATAATAATAGTGTAACCACAGTGAAAACAACAATAATAGTTTTAAAAAATAGCAAGATTTTATCTTTAATAATACAATAGTGCTTCTATTTAGCCTAATATTTGTTTAGCCATTTTTTGTGAGGTTATTTGGCTACTAGTTACCTAGTATGGTATGGTATTTAAGGCTTTTATTTTATTTAGGTAATTTCTAATTAGGTAATTTTATTAGGTTATGGTGTAATCTTTAAGAAATACAAACAACCTATAACCAAATAAGGCTTGGATTATAAATAATACAATAAATAAACGTTTCAACTGAACGACTTTTACAACAATAGGTATGATTATTATCTGCTTGTTTGTAGAGCAGAATATGACGAAGATTTCATCGTGGCTGCAACTATTAATAACTATAACAACAACAACAATAATAATAATATTTATTAATAATAATAATAATAATAATAATAATAAGAATAAGAATAATAATAATAATAATAATAATAATAATAATAATAATAATAATAATAATAATAATAATAATAATAATAATAATAATAATAATAATAATA